TATAGATATAGATATAGATATAGATATATACCTAAGACTTGGAAATAGCCCAAGTGCCCATTAGCAGATGAATGGATAAAAAGATGTGGTACATCTACATAATGGAATACTATGTAGCTATAAAGAAGAAGGAACCCTTACTATCTGCAACAGCATGGATAGACCTGGAGAGTATTATAAGAGAAATATGCCAGTCAGAGAAAGATACGTATCACATGATCTCACTCATGTGGAATCTAATGAATAAAATAAAATGATTAACAAAATCCTAGTACATCCACAGATTTACAACGATGGATCAGACTGGCGAATTTCAGAGAGAAGGCTAGGGGGTGGGGGAGTGATTAACAGGGGAACTTATATGCATAGCCCATGGACTCAGACAATAGTGTGGTGAAGGCCTCAGAGAGTCAGGTATAGGGTGGAGGAGGATTAATGGGGAAAAACACAAAGGAAACACCTGTAATACTTTCAACAATAAAGATAAATTTTTTAAAAAGTAGCATATGGTCAACTCTGGCAAACAGTGCATGGACTCTTGGAAAGTAATGTGCTTTATAGTAATTAAAGCCCCTTTTAATTTTTTATTAGTTATAGTACTTAAAACCTATGTCTATTTTCTAATTCTTGAATTGCTAATTTTTTTCACTTTGCCTTCATAATTCTAATAGTTTGATAAAAAAAAAACTAACTCATCTTAATGTGAAATAAGAAATTCAGTACAATTTTACTTCCTTCAACTCACCATTATATAATCCTATATAATAAAACCCTAATAAGCAAATCGACCAAACAGTGGAACGACTGGTCACTATGATGTGCACTGACCACCAGGGGGCAGACACTCAATGCAGAAGCTGCTCCCTAGTGATCAGTGCGCTCCCAGCCGGGCTTACAGCTGGTGAGCAAAGTGGCCCTGTGGACAGGTGCTGGGTGGTAAACTGAGGCCTCTGGCAACAGCCATTGTACAAGTAAGTGAGCCACCTTGGAAGCAGACTGGCTGGCCCAAGTCTAAATTGCTTGTCTGCAACCTCCTGAGATACAAGCCAAATCACCCAGCTAATGTGCTTCTGGATTATTAACCACAGAAACTGTGAGGTAACACCTGCTTATTGTTCTTTGCAGTACCTGAGTTTTGGGGTAATTGCTTCACAGCATTAGGTAACTAATACACAAGCCCTCTGGGTGATTCTGATATATGCTATACTTTCAGAACCACTGAGCTAAAAGGTTCCCCACCCCTGACCTTCACAATGAGTTCAGCCCAGGAACAGGCCTCTAACTAGTACCAATAACATTACATTTAAGGGACCAGGTGTATTCCTCTGGGAATCTAAAAGCCATTGACTAAATTTCCATAAGATAAATGCCTTTTGTGTTCAAAACAGCCAACTTTTATTATTATTAATATTTTAAATATGTTTTTTAAATGATGTTTGCGAGAGAGGAATGGAGAGAAGAGAGAAACATTGATCAGCTGCCTCCTGAATGCCCCCTACTGGGGATCTAGCCCACAACACGGGCATGTGCCCTGCCTGGGAATCGAACCAATGATCCTTTGGTGCACAGTATGATGCTCAACCAACTGAGCCATACCAGCCAGGGCAAAACAGTCAACTTTTAGAGTCCCTCTATCTCACACATGCTGATTCATAAACACATATAGGGAAAATGTGTGCAGTGGATTTAGAAATGGAAGACATTAAATGTGAGACACCTTTTTTCCAGCTGGATGAGCAGCTCATAAATAAAGAAAAGGATTCATCCTGCTTCACTTGCAGATGGAACCCTGTGCTCATCAGGAAAGCAGCCAGCCCAAGGGCTGTGTGCTGCCCTTCTCTGAAGGAGCGTGTCCTGCTGATCGTGCACCTGGGCAGGACCTGGAAATGCACGCATATGGACACATTCTCACCTCATGGATGGGCTCCACCACTGGTTCTTTTGTTCAGTAATTGACATTACTGGTTGGAATGTTTGGAAATGATGAGGTGACAAGATAATAAGTCAATAGCTTTTCAACATGACCTTAGAACATGAAGGCACATTTGGAGAACACTTTGATAAGCGAAGAAAACACTCATTGATCTTTAAAAATTCTTCTGGCAGATAGATTAAGATGTGGGTGACATCATTTTACTGGTATATAAAAAAGTCAGAAAAATTATAGAACAGTCTCTGCTCTGAGCATATTTCTAGCAAGATCCAGGAAGAGTACAAAGGTTGTAACATCAGCAGGAGATGCAGAGGGTGACAGCTCTGCTGGGGATACTTGCCCAGGTGGTATCTCCTGCCCACCTTTAGTGAGGTGCTCACACTTAAATAAGGCAAGGAACAAAAGTGGCAGATGAAGTCAATGACATCAAGCCACACCTTCTACTAGTATACACTTATATCCCCACAGACCCAGCCTGCCCAGTGGGAACAATGATGCCTTATCGACTTGTTCTTTTTCATTCTGGCCAGACTTAACAGTGTGCCCTGCAGAACTGCCTGTGACCATGGAGAGTTCTCTGTCTGAGCTGCCCAAGCCAGTGGCCACCAGGAGCACGTGGCTACTGAAACCTGAAATGGGGCTGGCATTAATCCCAGTTAGTTTAAATGTGGATAGCCATTTGTGGCTAACAGCTGCAATACAGGACAGAGCACAGCTAGAAAATAACAATTGCAAATCGGCCCACTAAGTCATCTTTTCAAAAGTTTTATTATTTTTTGCATTTCTCACATGTGCATATGGAGAGGCACAGGATTAAGCAACTTCCATAATTAAAAAGCTAGTAAATGTCAGAGAAGAAGTCACAGTCTGTCCAACCCAATGACACACTCCCAAAGACTTCAAACTGCAATCCCCCTTTTCATGTAGAAGAAGCTGGAAAGGCAAGTATCAGCCTGGGAAATTCCAAATTCTCAGTCAACAGCTATGAAAGGAGGCTGGTCATATATACGAGGCATGATTTCTTTCAACAAAAACACCTGGGGAAAATGTCTTCTCCAGCTGTGACTAGCTAACTTGAATATCTCAAACTATATCACAGTAAGCATATCCAACAGCCCACCACGGTGCCCTAAAACTTTTACTCTAATCAAATATTAGCCAAATGAATTCATGGGAAAGCAACAGAAAGAAAAAGATATTAAATTCCTGTCACACCCTATTATACTGTCTAAGCATTATTCCATCACCCTTTTGCTGACAAATTAATTATACCTTTTTCCCTAAATCAACAGATTCAATGGAACTGCACAAAAGATAAAGAGATTAGGATTTCAAAACTGATTTGGAAAAAAGGAGTGTCAAAGGCATGGCTTTAAAAATTGAAGAGTAATATTCGGTCACAGTGTAAATTTTGTCTTGAATTCTACATAAAATATTCACATTATTACAATACTAAAAGCCCACTCCAACACCTGTAAGTCTCAGTTCAGGTATTGTGCATGTTCCCCGTATCCACGAGGAAACCAGTGTAGCTCCTTAAACGCTCCTTTACACACAGGGACACCAAGGCGCACAGTTTGAGACACTGAAATCAGGGGAGAATGTTACAGCTTCCTGTGCACAAAACTAGTATCTTTGGTTCTATTACTGCCTTCATATTGCCAAGGAGATCTAAGAAATTCTTGGGGCAATATACTGAAACGTAGGTAAACAAATGGGATAAGACCACAACTTTGAGGATCAAAGCCTGGCTAAAAACATGTGATAATCTTGTTACATCAAATCTAGTTTTAGGTTTGAGCTGGTGGACTCTGGTGGTAAGAGCTGTCTAAGGTCCTAAAATTAATCTCACCAGAGCCTGGGCCACCTGGCACTGTCCTGTGGTCACACATTAATTTCCAGCCAGTCCTCCCGCCAGCACTGTGCATGGCAGTGGGTGGTGGATCAGAGATGGCCAAGGTGGGCTCTGTGTGTCCTCCCTTGAAGTGGACAGGACCTTAACTGCTCTGACCACCAGAACATAGCATGGTGATGCTGTGCACATCTCCAGGCCTCAGCCATGACACTGACAATTCTATTGCCTGTGTTTTGGACCACTTGCCTGGAGCTCATTTAGGAAGTGCAGCTACTCTGAGTCCACCATGTAAGAGGCCATGTGTGGTCACAGGCCAACAGTCCCAGCTGAGCCTGAACTCCCGCTGGGAGTGAGAATTCCTTCCATGGGGCGAGACATGGAACAAAGTCATCCCATGAAGCAGCTGAACACAACCCAACAACCCCAGACAAGCCCATAATGACCCATAAAATAGTGCAAGAAACTAAAGTAGTTCTTAGAATTTTGGGTAGTGGGCAATGTGGCAATAGAAACTGGAGAAGAATGTTTCTCTTTTCTTCAGCTGGTCTATTTCCCCTCTAAAACCACCTTTACTTGCTCTTATTGTATAACATGAATGTGTATTTATTGCATATCAGGCCTAACCTTCCTGCACATCACTCTTTACCATTTTACCAGTGCACCTACCAATGAAGCCAGAAGATGGTGGGTTGGGCTGAATCTTCTCCTTGGTGTTCTCCTGGATGATGTCCCAAAGCTGCCATATAAATTTAGGGTGAAGAATGTAGAAGGGCTGATCTGGGTTCCTCTGACGATGCTGAACATATGGTGTGAACAGGTTGTAGTCTGGCTTCTTGTACCACTAAGAGAAAAAATCAACACAATCCAGTCCTGTTGGCCACGCTGTGCAAAGGACACAGGACAGCACCAGAGGGAGGGAGGGACTCAGAGGGGAGTGGGGAATGCGAACAGAGAGCAGGGGTCCCACTAGGCCAGTGGTTCTCAACCTTCCTAATACTGCAACCCTTTAATACAGTTCCTCATGTTGTGGTGACCCAAACCATAAAATTATTTTCATTGCTACTTCATAACTGTAAATTTGCTACTGTTATAAATCGTAATGTAAATATATGATATGCAGGATGTATTTTCATTGTTACAAATTGAACATAATTAAAGCATAGTGATTAATCACAAAACAATATGTAACTATATATGTGTTTTCCAATGGTCTTAGGCGACCCCTGTGAAAGGGTCGTTTGACCTCCAAAGGGGTCACGATCCACGGGTTGAGAACCGCTGAACTAGACAGATGCTGCATGTAGCGCTCAGCAGACTTCTGCAAAGGGCTATGGGTTTATGGTCTCTGTGGCAATCACTCAGCTCTGTCTTTGTGCTAGGAAAGCAGCCACACAAGATGCCATATGAATGGCTTGGCTTTGTTTCAACAAAACTTTATTTAAAACCAGGGCCAGGGGAAACCAAGATGGCGGCATAGGTAAACACTGGAGATTGCTGCCTCGAACAACGACTTCAAGAATACAATGAAAAGACAGAACGGGCATCATCCAGAACCACAGGAAGGCTGGCTGAGCAGAAATACTACAACTAGAAGGAAAGAGAAAAGCATACCGAGACTCAGAGGAGCTACGGTGCGGAAGTTAAGTGCACAGGTATGGAGGCAGACGTGGAAAGGGCTGGCGGCTGAGGACATGGTTGGCTTTTTCAATCGAGAGGGAGTCTCAAACTCCCTACTGCTCTGAACTCCAGTTCCGGGTGAATCTCTGGGGACCCTGACTGATACGGGGAGAGGCTAGATTGTCTGGCATCGTTCGCATCTCGAGGGCGGCTTTCAGAGGTGCTTGCAGCGATTACCTGGACACTGAGACTCGGGGCCTCTTAGGGAAGGACTAACGATCAGCCATAACTGTTTGCTCCACCCTATTGATCCCCTGGGACCCCGCCCTGCCCAAGCTGTGCACAGAGGCTTTTGCAAGCTGAAAATTACCTAACAAACTTGCAGCTGGCCCAAGGCCCCAGGGCAACTTGCATTCCTTCACAGCTGAGCTCCAGCTGAATAGCCTCAGGCAAAGGCTAGATTAGCACCTCCTGTAAGACCCAGGAGCCAGTATACCCAGTGGTCAGAGTGACTCAGTGAGCACCAAAGCCCCACTGAAGCAAGTCTTGCCCCGAAGGAGTGTC